GGTGATCTCATCGGCTGTAAAATACTGAGCAATCGTTGGCGGTCATGGTATCTTGTCTCCAAAATATACAGCATTCAGGAAGCTCAATTTACCCATGAATGCCCAGTATCTCCACGCGAAGCGCTTGGTCAAAGGATTGAATGGGAGGTTGGTGCGAGGGCCCTCAGGGTAGTGGAAAGGACTGGACATCTGAGGCTGGGTGGTGTGGAAGCCGCGGCGGGCAACGGAGGTGGCCATTCTGGCTCGGGTTGCAGATTGGGCGAGCATCTTGGACAGATATTTAGCGTATGGTTGGGAGGGATATAAAATTGGAGAGTTGACCGTACCTTGGAGAGTCCTGATGCGGTAGAACTGGCCTAAATTGTGACTTGATAATTCAAGGATCTGACACTCGTCAGGATGGTCTGTTCCGGAATAGGGATCCGCGATGACTCAGCAAATGTTTAAAACCACGTGACATATATCTAGAAGAAAAATGTTTTTGCAACAGTGCGCAACACTGCCAATGATGGGCCGAGGACATTCTCCTAAGAATCGAGTCTGAAGTTCCAAACACCTTCCACATAGCGTCTGCCAACCATGGACGACTTGTTCGATGTGTTCGAGGAGAAACCTCCCACTGGACTTCCTCTTCAAGATCATTCCAAGCCTCGAACAAAGAAGGAAAAGAACAGAAAGAGACAGGCAAATGGCGTTATGAAGGATCGTCCGAATGCGGTGGGTGGCCAGGAGAATGGACAGGTTGTTGATACCCTAATGGAGGATATGGATATGGTGGAACCAACCGAGTCGCAAAATAGCGAACCCGATCCAAAACGGCAGCGCCTCCAGCCAGAGCCAGAACCGGTCGTGGCCGATACATTCGAGACGGAGCAGTCGCGAGAGATTGCAGGCTCTGCTGGTCTTCAAGGAACACAAGATACGAAAGCTGTTGTTCTATCACATCAAGTTCGACATCAAGTTGCGCTGCCTCCAGATTATCCATATATTCCAATATCGGAACACAAACCACCACAAACACCCGCAAGAACATGGAGCTTTACTCTTGATCCCTTCCAACAGGTGTCAATTGCGTCAATCGAAAGGGGGGAAAGTGTTCTGGTATCCGCTCATACTAGTGCTGGAAAGACGGTGGTTGCAGAATATGCTATTGCGCAAAGTCTGAGAAATAACCAGAGAGTTATCTATACAAGCCCTATAAAGGCGCTGAGCAACCAGAAATACCGAGAATTCGCAGCTGAATTCGGTGATGTTGGATTAATGACCGGTGATGTTACCATAAACCCTACGGCGACATGCCTTGTCATGACGACTGAGGTATTACAATTTGCTAGATATCTTGTTTATTGATGAAGCACTAATCAGGTCACAGATTTTGCGATCCATGTTATACAGGGGCTCAGAAATCATGCGCGAAGTGGCTTGGGTGGTTTTCGATGAGATACACTACATGCGAGACAAGAGTAAGTTTTTTCATGTTAATAACTCTGTCTTGAAATTTCAAAGTGTTAACGTTTTTGCAGCTCGTGGTGTTGTATGGGAAGAAACCATTATTCTTCTCCCAGACAAAGTTAGATATGTTTTCCTCTCCGCAACAATTCCGAATGCGATGCAATTTGCGGAATGGATTACCAAAATGCACAACCAGCCGTGCCACGTCGTCTACACTGATTTCCGGCCAACACCCTTACAACATTATTTTTTCCCTGCTGGCGCCGATGGAATCCATCTTGTTGTTGACGAGAAAGGAGTGTTCCGTGAGGAGAATTTCCACAAAGCCATGGAGACCATCGCTGAGAAACAAGGAGATGATCCAGCAAACGTGATGGCTAAGAGGAAAGGCAAAGGAAAAGACAAGAAGACGAATAAGGGAGGAGAGAGCAATAAGGGCCCATCTGATATTTACAAAATCGTGAAGATGATTATGCTGAAAAACTATAACCCGGTCATCGTTTTCAGTTTCAGCAAGAGGGAGTGCGAAGCCTTTGCACTACAGATGAGCAAGATGGCATTTAACGATGAATCGGAGAAGGAGATGGTCAGCAAGGTGTTCAATAGTGCTATTGAGATGCTCTCCGATGAGGACAAGGAGCTGCCGCAGATTAAACACATTCTACCATTGCTTCGTCTCGGGATCGGGGTTCATCACTCTGGCCTTCTCCCCATTCTCAAAGAAACTATCGAAATTCTCTTCCAGGAAGGGTTGATTAAGGTGCTTTTCGCCACAGAGACGTTCTCCATCGGTCTAAACATGCCTGCAAAGACAGTGGTTTTCACAAGTGTTCGGAAATTCGATGGAGTAAGTCAGCGCTGGATTACTCCGTCTGAGTTTGTGCAAATGTCCGGCCGTGCTGGACGTAGAGGCCTTGATGATCGCGGTATTGTCATTATGATGATCAATGAGGAAATGGATCCAACCGTTGCTAAGGAAATCGTCCGTGGGGAGCAAGACAAACTTAACTCGGCTTTTTATTTGGGATATAACATGATATTGAACCTGCTACGTGTGGAGGGAATATCGCCAGAGTTTATGTTAGAGCGATGCTTTTATCAATTCCAAAATGCGGCTAGTGTAGCGGGATTGGAAAGAGGTATGTGTTCAACAGCCCTAATATTATAAATAAAGGCTTTTTTCTAATGGTAATAGAATTGGCTGAGTTGGAGAATGAATATGCTGTGATGACAATTCCCGATGAGGGGACGATCCGGGAATATTATGAGCTACGCCAAAACATCGCCACGTACACCTCTGATATGCGTAGCGTTATCAGCCTTCCAAACTATTGTGTACGGTACATTCAGCCAGGGCGGCTTGTTCAAATACAATACATGGATTATGATTTCGGCTGGGGAGCTGTTGTCAGCTGTCAAAAGAGAAAACCCCCTCGAAACGCGCCAAATGAAGAATATCCTCCACATGAAAGTTTTATTGTCGATGTCTTGCTACAAGTCGCAGAGGGCTCGTCTTCCCCAACGAGAGCTGGCCAACAACCTCTTCCCCCTGGGATCCGGCCTTCCCAGCCGGAGGGGAAATCCAAGTTAGAAGTTATACCAGTGCTTCTCAGTTGTTTAAAAACCATCTCCCATCTTCGGATTCGATTGCCTCAAGACCTTAAGCCAATCAGCGCGAGGAGTGAGGTTAAAAAACACATTGTGGAGATCCAACGGCGATTCCCGGATGGAATTCCCCTTTTGGACCCAATTGAAGACATGGGAATAAAGGATGATTCTTTCAGAAAACTCCTTCGGGTACGTGCCGCGGCAGTTCTTAATTTCAGTCCCCCAGCGCGCCCCCCACCATTTTTTTCTTCTTTAAATAAACATGTGCTAATTTCTGGAGCAGAAAATTGAGGTATTGGAATCACGTCTAATGTCCAATCCACTTCATAACTCCCCGCGACTTCCAGAATTATATGACCAATACGCGGCAAAAACCGAACTTGGATCCAAAATCAAAGCAACAAAAAAGAAGATTGCGGAAGCCATGTCGATTATTCAATTAGACGAGCTAAAATGTCGGAAACGGGTGCTTCGTCGCTTCCAGTTCATCAACGAGGCAGAAGTTGTGCAATTGAAAGCTCGCGTCGCATGTGAGATCAGTAGCGGCGACGAGCTAATGCTGAGCGAGCTGCTTTTCAATGGGTTTTTCAATAACCTCACACCCGAACAGTGTGCTGCAGTTCTTAGCGTGTTTGTCTTTGAGGAGAGTTCCAAGGAGACACCGCCGATTTCCAAGGAAGAGCTCGCGAAGCCACTGAGAGATATCCAGGCGCAGGCCAGGATTATTGCCAAGGTGTCGCAGGAGTCCAAACTGGCGGTCAATGAGGACGAATATGTGAAAGGATTCCGATGGGAGTTGATGGAGGTCATTTATGAATGGGCGAAGGGGAAGTCATTTGCGGAAATTTGGTAAAGTTTTTCTCCTCAACCTCAGAATTTTTTTTCCACTACTAGGCTAGGAGCTTTTTCTCCCTCATTGTTCTTCGCTAACATGTGATTTGCTCACAGCAAAATGACGGATGTTTACGAGGGAAGCTTGATCCGGACATTCCGTCGACTGGAGGAGTGTATGCGGCAAATGGCCCAGGCAGCGAAAGTTATGGGCAGCGAAGATTTGGAGAAGAAGTTCGAGAAGTCTCTCGAGATGGTGAAGCGGGATATTGTTGCGGCACAATCTCTCTATCTCTAGAAGGTGACTGATTCCAGCTTTGATACCTGCCTACCACTACTGCGGCATCTGCTGGTCTATATGTGCTCTTTTTGCTTGTTCTTCTTCTTCACTTATTGCTTGTGGACATATATATATCCATGAGTTCATGTAGGGTTCGTAGGCACTATACGCACAAATTCTCGCATGGCACCGTATCGCATTATCAGGAGTTCGGGAAGCGTTACTGCCACGGGAAATTTTGTATGGGTATAATCGCGACCTTGGTGTGCTTTTCTGATTTCCCGTGTGGGTCTTCAATTTTAACTTCAATTTCCGTTGAAAATAGGCCGTAAGATGCCTTCTACAGATAGCATGGTGATTTGTGCCTGAATACTCGGGTGCCGAGCTATAAATCTCCAGATCGCGTGGGACAATATTGGAAGAGCGGTGGTATATTGAAACGGTGTAATGACAGGGTAATGTGACTGTGTCGTTGCCCGTTGCAACCTAGGAAACGTTTGTTTCGTCCTGTCAAGTGATGCAATAATACGCCAAGTCCGATATTTTTGCTGCGGACCTGTTAAAATTACCAATACCAATACAATACCAAGCCCCAAATCTCTCCCCACTCAACTTCCTCGACTTTCCTTTCCTCAACTTCCTCCTCCATTTGCAGCTCTCTTCTCGTCCATATCCTCTCCTAACTAACCTATCTCTAACATATGCATTCTCGCCTCCCTCTCTGATATCAGTGTCCAAATATAGTACTCGTCTTGCCGTTCGTTGCTGGCATTCCCTCTTGTGTCTCCTCCCTGCTTCTTCCCAATATGAATAGCCTGCTGGCAACACCCCCTGTTCCACCACACTTCTACGAGCACTGCCGACTCTCTCCCTCCCGGTCCAGTGAGTTCCTCTTAAATGACAATAAGCGTAGTTGCGTATATGCTGACCTTTTGTGTGCCTACCAGTGTCCTCTACCAATCCTAGTGGCAACAGAAAACGAAAAGCTGAAGATGATTACCTCCCAAGCGACCATGACACTCGAATGTCCGCTTCTCCTTCGAACTCCCCAGCGTTTCCCCCGAGGCCACTACCTGCTTCTCGTCAGATCAAACGACCGAGACCAAATATTTCAGGTCGGCCCTTATCTTTATCCCGCCTGTTGGAGACGCTGGATACCGATGCCCTTCGTTCCGTCTTACGGTCAATGTGTGACAGACACCCAGAGCTTGCAACGGAAGTGGTACATACCGCTCCTCGACCAAGCGTTAGCTCTGCCTTGCAGGTTCTAAACAACTACCAATCAGCCCTCCATTCTTCTATCCCTCTTGGAGGGAATTCCTCTTCAGATTATGCATATAACCGCGTCCGCCAGCATATTGTCAACCTCCTCGACGCCTTGAGTGATTTCACACCTCACTTTCTACCACCCAACGAATCCCAGACTTCGACAGCCTTAAGTTACCTTGACGGTGCCACTGAGATTCTACATCGACTCCCCAGGTGGGACACGCCGCAAAACAACTTAGAGAAAGATGCCGCCTATGAGGAAATGGCTAAAGCGTGGATACTGGTTATTCGGGAAGCTGGGAAACGTGGCGGCGGCATCCAGTTGCAATATGGCGGATGGGATGAGAAACTTTCAAAGCACAACCAGACAGCCGGAGGGAAACTTCAGGACGCTGTCGACGTTCTGAGTTCTAACCTTGGTTGGATGGGGACCAGTCAGGATTTGTCTAATAATCAGGGAGTGGATACTTCATCGATACGCCAGCAGCTCCTTTCTGGCACTTACGGCAGTGGTATGCCACTGAAGGTCGGCCGCTGGTGATCAGAATTCGCCGCTTCTCTCAATGTACAGGACAGAATACCTTATTTTTGGCTATCTTGTTCTACATTTTAGATCCTCCCGTCTTTTTGAAAGAAATTTCTTGTGGTAAATAAGCCCATTCCCCCAGCGGAACATAACTTTTTCCGTTTCTCTTTTTCTTTCATCTTAACGACACGGCTACGATACCCACCGCACATGGAATTAGAGTTACACATAGCCCACTACTGGCGTTTATTTTCATTTTCATGTGATCTTCTCTGTTCCCATTTGATCAAAGTCGCTTCTTGCAATACCATTCCATGTTCTACATGCCTGGAATAACAAATCTTCGGGAGATTTTATTTTCTCCCCTTTATTTTTCTTTACTCTCTACAGCCAGCCCTCTTCCCTTCTCTGTTTCTATTTTCTACTTTTTGATTTTATTCTTTTCTCTCGTGAATATCCAGCGTGCCAATCCCTTTCGCAGCATCCACTTTCAATATTTCCCCCTTTCAATTCCCTCATCTTTATATTTGCTTGTCGTTTACATTGATGACACTTCCCATTTCACAATCATTAAACGTGTACCCTACATAAACATCTATCCCACTATGGATACTACCACCCCGACATGCGTGTTTAGCTGATTCCACTTTTGTTGTCAGGCCAGGAGCCCGTTTCGTCCCATTCTCCTAAGTGCCACCCAGCTTGTGTCTTACAAGCCACCCTTCCCCCATTGGAGATCCTTTTCAAGGAAACAAAATCCAGGTCACAAGCAGCATATGGGCTGAAGGAACAATCTTCTTGTTTCTGTTTTTGTTTCTAGTTCCATTTTATTCCGTCAAGTCAATGCCTTTTGCACTACATAATCCCCGACTGCTTTCTCAAAGAAGTAAAAACATATTTGTCTATATTTCATGTATAAATGAACTGAGAAAAAAAATTTCATTTCCATCTATCGTTCCGATGGTAAAAAGTATTTAACAGCCAATAGCATTGTACCCCGATTTCCGGTTCCTGGTTTTACAAACCCTCATGGAAATGTGATAGAACACCCCATACCCTGGAAGAGCTGGAAGAACATGAACACGATCTCCCGTCTACCGTGTTCATACCTCGGTCAACTTATTACATATTGCGCCGATTCATATATATAGCTTCATTAGTCTCGACTGATACCTCAGTTGGCGTGTATGCATTTATCGAAGCATTGGAGGAACTTGGCCAAGTCTCCATAAAAAAATTGACCTAGAATGTCTAATGAATGAAAGAGATTTGGGCTGTCTTCTTCCTTGGCTGCCTCTGCGCGGAGAAGCACTTGAAGCCAGGAAATCTCATGCCTCGTCCAGCGACTCTGGACAAATAAAATCTAAAGCTTAGATTTCTCGCCGCATCAGCCATCCTCATTCAAAATCACCTCTTCTGTCAGTGGGCCTTTGAGAGCGCAGGCGGCACAAACAAGAGTAACTTCGCATAAACATAATTTCCCAATAATATCGTGTGCCACCCTTTCTTTGGTCAGAAGCTCTTTTGCTTGCATGACTACTTGTGGAGGCAGCAACCTCTCGGTTGAATTTTATAATTCCACTCGGATCTATACGTAAATATTGTCCAAGGGCATAACTTCACACTCGCGAGACAGTTAAAGTTTCATTTTACTGTGTATGCCCCTGTTTACTGGTATTCTAGAGCCAAGATTTAGGTCTTAGACCTAGGTCTCATACCGCGCGTAACTTCCATGATAATGCCTGACACCTTGGTATTTACGCATTTTGACTAAAATAATTAGTTATAGGTACATTCAATGAGATAGACTCCCCATTTTCCTCTTCTCATTTGCTTAAGTAGCTTGACCAAAGTGCCCAGTTTTTATCAATATACCCCGTAATGCCTCCAAGTCGCCACGCTCCATGGAATCTTGATGTCAATTCGCTAACTAGTTAGTTAAACGAGTTTGTTGGAGGAATTATCGCGTAACCTATACGTAGTTAGTTCACTAGTTACCGAGTTAATTAACATGTCCTAAATAAGTTTGTCAGTCTCAGCCGCCGGCTTTGCGCCTTCTTTGAGCCTTACGGCCAATCAGGGTTCCATGCAAGCCTGATTGTGACCAGTGAGCTTCGTGATAGTTGTTGCGCTAGTTTAAGGGCTCAATGATAGTTTTGGACCTCCTTAACTGTCGACCATTTCGCGTCGTCCCGTTATTAGGGAATTGTACAGTACGGCGATGCGAATGAACGTCCGTTATTTTGATTCATCTCACTGTCATTCCGTGAAAGAGCCGGAGCACGAAGGGTGCCCCCTAGAGCAATGACGACAAGCATTCCCTTGTCCAATAACTTGAATAAATCCAATTACCGCGAATCGATAGTGTCGAACTTCAAGAAGAGATCCACGTTGTACGCCCTCGTTGCCCTGTCGCTCCTCAATGTATTCCTCCTCACGAACACCCTTTACAGGGCCCGAAGTTCAGGATCAAAGGATTCAACCAGAACTGCACAGATAAATCCTTTCCATCTGCCGGGAAATGTGAATGCGAGTGAAACCGAATTCATCAAACCTGAGGATATTATCATTAGCGGCTTTGTATTCTATGGCCGTCGGGATCGTGTCGAGGCAATGCGCTGCTATGTGGAGGTATGAAGCTCGTCTTCTATTGCAGAGATATAAATAGGCTGTGTGTACCACGATTCGTTTGGGGCTTTGACTGACAGACAGCACGGTTGCTCACAACAGCGCAATTTGGCCGACAATAATGGATGGTTGGATGAAGTATTATGGGTTGTCAATACCGAAAATGAAGATGATCTGAGGTATCTCGATGAAATCCTGGCCAGCTCTCCACGACACAGAAAGCTGGATCTTGGGAGAATGGTTCGAGGCCCAGAGTTCAGACAAATCTGGAAGCATCTCGAGAGGGGCAAGATATACGTTAAAATAGATGATGATGTGGTGAGTAGGGAGAAAGTCTTATTTATTCCCTCTTCTTCGTGAAGGTCAATGCCGACGGGCTGGTAGCAAGTTGCTGATGTTTCCTCGCCATGGCTCTCTAGGTTTGGTTAGCCGACGATACCATTCCTCGAATCGTTGACTGGAAATTAAAGCACCCCAACGATTTCGCAGTCTCAGCAAACATCATCAACAATCCCCCATTGGGCTTCATCCACTACCATGTTGGCGCCCTCCATCCGTATTTCCCTGAATTGGCCAATGGCAAACCATCCACAAATGTCAGCGATAATAAATCATGGAGACCTTCTGATCACCCGCACTGGGAAGGGCCTGATAAGTTTGAATGGGCCCTGGATGCCGCCCCGCCAGCTAAAGGCCATCGATGGTTGCGTGTGAAAGACGACAAAGCTATTGTTCGAACCCCGGCGACGCACCTCAAATACGAAGTATGGGGCGATACCTACACAAGCTGGGCCATCGCCGCCCAGCAGCATTATTCATTTTTAGAAAACTTGGAGAACAATCAGCTTGGCCTTTACAAATTTAATCTCCCGTGGAACATGGATAACGAACGCATAAGAATCAATGTCCTTGCCATTTGGGCCGACGATATACTCGATAACGATATTAATACCTGGCCAAAAGAGAGAAGTGATGAAGAAATGGTTGTTATGGAGCTTCCCAAGCTTTATAGTCGACGTAAGTCTCTGCAACATGCCATCCATGTTTTTTAAACTCTTCCATTCAATAAAAAATAAGCTTCTCCCGTTGTTGTTATCTACCTGGTGTTTTCTACCTCCCATACCATCGTGAAAACTAAGAAACTGAACCATTTTCTAGCTGTCACTATCGTGGGAGAAGCCCTAGCTGTCCATTTTAACTTTCAGCATCAACCTGGAGTGGCGGAAACGGATCTTTTGGACCGATACCGTATACTCGCTAGGGAACGCGCATGTCCTCCGGCGTCGAAACCAGTTTCCTAGTAGACCCAATACATCCACGGATCTTTTGCAGCTCACCACCAAAGTCGCCCAGCTGACAAAATACACCGCATCTTCAGGCTGGCCCCATACCGCCCTCCCTCTCAGTGAAAGGGCCAGGTTTGCCGCAGCAGCAGCAAATTGCATTCGATAAAACTTCGATGCGAAAATGAGAAGAGAGAAACTGCTGCAAAATATCGAGTCTCTGGTTCCATAACGCTTTGTATTCTCTCTTTACCAAACAGAACCAACGATGTCCTGAAGTACCCGCTTTAAAGGATATATATATTTTTTGCAAAGATTTTTGAATCATCCTTCATTGAAAATAGAGCTCCGGCAATTTGTAACTACAAAATTTCCTCTCCCGGTTATGATACATACATTGCTAGTTATTATTCACCCATTTCCTTTCACTGAGCACTTAGGTTTTTTTTTTTTTTTTTTTTTTTTTTTCTCTGTAAATAAGTCATTTTATTTAATGACCCAATATATATATTAATATCTCGCTCAGAAAGAGGGGTCAATATTGCGATTTAGCCTTTGACACAAAAGGAAATGCATATCCTCACATCCTTTCAATCCCGATTCGTAAACGCGGCTGGACCCCAAGAAGGCTTTTAGCAAGTCCACCGGTCCTTGTCTGAGATGAACCAACCGTATCCACCTGTGACCCTAAATAGCCTGCGAATGCAGCACAATCTCGCCGTAAAGTCAGGAAAAGGGTTGTGCGGGTTGTCTCTTATATTCGAGTAGAAGAGCGACGGCATGCTAGAACAATGAGCAATCTTGGAAATTGAAAAAAAAAAAAAAAAAAAAAAAAAAAAAAAAAAAAAAAAAAAAGGGAAAGAAAGGGAAGTAAGGAAGAGAATCTGGTTCTGCTGGAGAAAGAATTTGTTGGATAATCCCACTGTGCTTGGCCGCTTCCTTTTATTCAAGTAGTATATTCTCGCCACATTGCTAGCATAAAAATGGTACAGTTTAATGTACAGTACAACAGACAAAGGCATCCAACAATGAGAGTAAGTATATGGAACAGAGGGGTATAAAAGCGTAGTACGGTGAATATATAGATATACGTGTATTCAAGTCGTTTCTCATGCGTTGAAATCCCCACTGATCAGACAAGCGAGAAAAGCCGAAACAGATATCAAAATATTAGGGAAAAACGGCATGTGTGCACTTCATGTGTACGTCAGACGCTGCAAAGCCAGAGGCTAACTAATCAGGAGCCAAATGTTTCCAATACTGACGAGTTGTTGAGGAAACGGTAAGCAAAGAGTGTATATCGAAAGCAACTGCATACACCAGGTCTTATGACGCTATCTATACATGTGCATCTTTACAAGAGCCCAAGTGAGTGCGAAAATTTATGCCGTATGAGAATGGGTTAAGTAGAATAAAAGAGCCTTTTATCGACTAGCGGGGCAAACTCACGCAGGGACTGATGGGGCTCGAAGTGGTGCTTAATTGTTGATATCGCTCCTCAACCACTGCGGGCAGTTCCTGTGCAGGTGAATACCTACAAGACGGGCTGAGGTCCTCAAAAGAAATAAACCCTTCTCTCGATGTATGGCTTCGTTGCGAACCGCGCCTTGATGCTATTCTTCGAGTTGGAACTGGCACAAGCCCATTGGATCCCTCGGCCTCATGCAATTTGTGAAGTGAATCCTGCGACGCCGGCTTATTCCACTTGCTACGACCGAGCAAGAGTCCGAGAATGACTATCGCGATAACAAGAATTATTCCAATAATTATACTGGATATTTTTGCTGCTTCTGATTTCTTTTCGTCGGGAGATTTGTCAGATAAGTCCCCAGGCGACGAAGTAGGGGTGTTGGGCCCGCTTGGTGCAATCGGGGCAGCGGTTATACTGCCTGGTGATTTTATGGATGAAGTGGAAGTTGTTGTCACATCGGGCGAAGTGGTTATCGTTGCATCTATAAATTGGAAAAGGTGAGCCGCTGTCCATACATACTGTGTGGCATTGAAGTTATACCGATGGATGTCGTTTTTCGAGATGGGAGATGACGATACAGCGTCAATGCCGGCCAATTACTCAGACATTGAACAAATTTCACGGACGGCGGCACCAAACGTATTGATTCGTAGACAGACACTGTCACACAATTTTCACTAGGAGGATGATAATGCAGCGCTCAGGTTAATACCTGCGAAGGCATATTTTTGAGATCCTGAAGGGTGATGTAGGGCGCCTACCAGCTACTTGTGTGATCAGGGCCTTTTATTGTACCATCTCGACATTCAGTTGCGAGTGCGCAACCCTCAGTTCTACTGGGATGGCAACAATAACCATAGGCACCTGATGTTCCCCAGTGTAGAGATCCAGGGCAAGATATAAGTCCAGCTGCAGAGCGACTTCGCGTTAAACAGGTCCATGACTTTTGGGCAGGTTCACCTCAAATATTCAACGAAATTCGTGTGCACATACCTGTGACTGTGCCCTGACTGTCATGAATATAATATCCTATCGCTTCTGGCGGAAGGCCGATGCCAGCAGTGATAGTGGAAGTGATGGTAGCAGCACCCGCGGTGAAATGGCTTAGAGAAAGAAGAGCGATAGAAGCTGATAGGGAGAGTCGGAAGCGGTCCATTGGCCCATCTGCTTCAATTCATGAAGAGAGGGTAGAAGTCAATGAGCAGTAGCAAAGACGTTGAAATCGCGCAGCGATCAGCAGGAAAGAAAAGAGAAATCGACTGCGGTTGACCACCATGGTATATAATAAGAAAGGAGATTGTCTCCTAGGCTGCGTACCGTGGCACAGCATTGGCGAGGTATCCCCTCCCCCTTATTTTCTTTTTCTCATGAGGAAATCAGGGGTTAGTTAATAGTTAAGAATTTCAAGTGAGGGATTGCTTTTGAAGCCCCCCGATTCTGACTGGTAGCAGTTGAAAAGTTTTCTTGGGAGCCTCACGCAGGAGAAATAAGAAGGGTCTGACGGACAAGCCGTTTTTTTTTGGCTCCATTATTTTGTCGATCTGAATAACGTCGAGGAACAGGCGTCCTTTTATGACTAGCCTGTTCGCCTGGAAGGGGTGGTTGGAGCCACTACTCGCCGAGCGAGTAGCAGGATCACTCGGGAAAAGTGAGGAACGTCTGAATAAGAAGTGATGTGCTGTACATAGAAGGATCTAGTCGTCCAGGCCATCATCAGATGTGCTGGCGGCGCTGCCTAGACGTAAGCAGCTGTCACTCTAGATGACAGGAGCAGCGAGCGAAAGACGGCGATATATTCATTGTTGAAAAAGATTTTAACTCCCATGGTCGTAACTTCGAGCCTGGAGGTCGAACCAATCACATTCTGGGCTAACAGTGTTTGCTTTTTCCCAAGCAATAGTGATGAGCGGCCTGCATAAGCATTATCTGTAAATTGTGTGTTTATCGGCTCAGTTCGTATATCCGATTCATGTCCTGTGCGACCAATTCGCTGCGAAAGTAGTACAGGATCTCGTCTCCTTCGTAGGCGTTTATGGTTACATGTATCATCCACAAGCCAAAAGCTGAGTAAAAAAAAATGGTTTGCATGTAGTTGTCTGTAACGTTATTTGAGTTTCAAAGACTTGCGTGTGCAAGAGCAGTTAATTCATACCTGCCTGTGCCTATCCCAACTGCGTTCTGTTGGCGATTTTAAAACAAGCCTTGTAGGGCAAATGGGGTGAAGGATGAGAAAAAAATTTGCAATTTATTGCCTGTTCTTCCGCATGATCAAATTTGTGTGGAGGGATTTCGTGGAGGTTTCGTAAACTGGTGTAAATTGCATTAAGGCTTGAAATGTCTCAACAGTGGAGAGAAGCCTGTACATATATCCAGAAGGCGATCTTAATCGCATATCATTTTAATCTCCGATCCCATTGATCGGCATAGCCGCGACAGCAGAACAGACCCAAACCTGAAAAGACTGTGTAATATCGCCAGGGGGGTCCGATATTTATAAACCACACTGTTCGGAGCAAGCGATTTTATAAAATAACCAAGAAGTGGAGGGATGATTAGTTCGAAATGGACAA